CTCTCTCTCTCTCTCTCTCTCTCTCTCTCTCTCTCTCTCCTGTGAAACTGTTAATGGAGAACTTATGGAGAGAAAGTCCAAGTCCTCTCATCCAAATTGGAATGTGAAAGAAATCTGTTGGAAGGTGATGACAGAAATGAAGTAAAACAGTTGTTTCCTGATCCATGTGCCAGATGTGTCACATACTGTGATAAATAAGATCTGCGTCTTACACTCCAGAAATTGGGGAATATTACAAGCGTTTATTAGTGTGAGGTACAAAAAAATGTACTTGAAATGCTTTGTTTCTCCTGGCACCAGGCAGCGCAGGGTTATTGCACAATGCCTCAAGCTGCTAATGCCTTTGTTTAGGTTCAAGCCAGCTCAGCCTATTAAAAGCTTAAATTCAATTTTATTGTTAAGGTATTTATTAACTGATTATGAAAAGACATTAAAGGACTCATAATTAAACTGTAGTGTTGTTTCTTACCTTGATGAATTCTCTCTTTTTCTTAGGCGGACTCCCATAACGCAACGTAGACTTGGTTTGTGCCGTAACCGCTGCTCCGTTTGGTGAGAGGGGTTCCCCTCCCCCAACCTCCCAACTCTCATCTGCCTCAGCTAAGCAGACTGCCGGTCCTTAAATTGAAGGTATTTGTGAAACCCAATGTGTTATGGTAACAAGTATTTCCACTTAGCTACACTTACCCTTGTGTAGTGTTTATTTTCCCTGCTCAACAATGACTGTGAGTTTCACTCTAGAAGGGTTGGGCCAGTCAAGTCACTGCTAGGCATAAGCTTTCCAGTGCCCTGTGATCTTTCTAGGCTATTTTGCTCAAATAAATGCAACACGTGGACACACACACACAAAGAGACATATATACAGATATATGTGTGTGTATATGTATATACATGCATATATACATATACGTATATATTAAAATATCCACAGATCTGTCTAAGCTATATGATGTGTATACTTCTTCCTTCCTTCCTTCCTTCCTTCCTTCCTTCCTTCCTTCCTTTCTTTCTTTTTCTTTCTTTTGTTCTTTCTTTCTTTCTTTCTTTCTTTCTTTCTTTCTTTCTTTCTTTCTCATAAGCTGTGATTTCATTGGTATAGGAAACTTTTGGGGAACTCTATCCACCTGTGAATATCAGCAGCTGTTCTGTTCTGCAACCTATGATTTTAGAAAATTTCATGGAGTCATTGAACAATATAGCTACTTGCCCAGAGTCACAGTCAACATGTATCAGAGATGGAATTTGAACTCAGGTCTTCCTGACTGGGAGACTTGATGCCTATCCACCATACTACTCTGCCACTCGTATTTTAATTACATTCTATTTAATGTTCTTCCAACCCAATTTATTGGCTTCTCTTTTTCACAAATAATGGAAAAAGGACATGAAACATCATTTCTGTTTAAGAGAAATGGAAAAAAAATAGGAAAATTATTGAATTACCTGACACTAAAAGGTCTGGATGTATACCTAAGTAGGCTTTGTAAGCATTGCTTTTCTGGTAGATTTATAATGAAGAAAGAAAAAGAATTGGAATGACTCAGAAAGTGGATATCATCTAGTTGAAACAAACATTTTATTCCAATGCTTAATGGCAGTATATTCCCTTGCTTCCAGTAATTTTCAGTTATTTTGGAGTTTCAAAAGACAGAAAAGTTTAATAGACTAATTAGATAATTAACCAATAACTAGTTAATTTAACAGACTAATTAGAAGGTCCCCCTCAAATATATTTAAAGATTGCAAATGCATCATTATAAAGGGAGTTGTTGACATAATATATATGGGAAATGAGTTTTCTAACATAGTGATAGATCAACTAGGGATACTATCACAAGGATTCAGGTTTTATATCTATATTTATATCTATGTAAATACATGTTTTACCTTCAGATGTGTATCTTAACAGACTTAACAGCTCAGAACCACAATTTCAAGAGACCTTCACATTATTCTCTTTATTATGATATGAATGAGTTTAAGGCTAAATCTCATCAAATGATTTCAGAAATGCTGTTTCTGTAAATATAAAGGATTGAAGATGTGTGTTTACTGAAATTCTAGCAATAGTATTTTTTCCACAGTGGCTTCAGGCCAAGATCAAGAGACCTTCATCAGATCAAGAGGATTGCCACTTGCCAAAACAGAAAAAGGTTTCAGCTCATATATAAAAGTGTTACATGGAAATAAGTGTATTATTTTTTATAGAAAATATGATATGATTTTTTATTATCATAAAGAACAGCATTTTAAAACATATGAACCAAGTAACATTCTTAATTATGGCTACTGTCCAAGGAAAATTTGAAAGTCCAATTGGGAGAGGGATCAAGAAAGGGGAGGTTGAATCATCCTCATTTGGTTGCCTATTAGTTAATTAACAGAATAATTGTCTAATTATTTCCATTTCTTATGCAGACAAGTATAAAGTTGTGATTTTTTAAAAATATCTGAATGATTAGCTTGTTTTATCTGTAGTGTTACAAGAGCACTAAGTTAGAGATAAAAACAGATATTGGACAAATGTATTACCCAATTATGGATTTATTCACTCTATTCAGTTATCCAACATACCAATTTGCCTCTTATAATCACATTCTAATTAATGTATTTTTAACTCAATTTATTGATAAAGTATTATGATGTGAACAATCCTTCAAACATTTACATTTAACTTTAAAATATCGTCTGAGAATAACCAAGGATATGCTGTGAAATACATGCACACACACACAACACAGAGCACTCCCCTGTCGGCAACATTCCCCATCAGTGATATCTCCTTACCTTTTATTTTATTTCTAATTTTCTTTTTTATTGTGAATTTATTTATTTGTTTTTATTTATTTTTTCTTTTTTGTGAAGCAATTGGGGTTAAGTGACTTGCCCAGAGTCACACAGCTCATAAGTGTCAAATATCTGAGGCTGGATTTGAACTCAGTTCCTTCTGACTCCAAGGCCAGAGCTCTATCCACTGCGCCATCTAGCTGCCCTTTTTATTGTGAATTTAATAATCATCAAGAAACACAAAATGTTCGATTCACAGAGAACTAGATCTTTGTAAGAAACTGTGAAATTTTCTTATGTACATTTAAAAAAGTATATTATACATATTATATATATATATATACATAATTTAATAAGGAAATAACAAAACTGTATCCTCTTCTGAACTTTAAAAAATTTTTCTTTTTGCATTAGAAAAGTTTACTGACATCTTTTTTTTTATCATATATATCACAACCCACTACCTATCACTTTCATATTCCTACTTTCAGAAGTCCTCCCTTATAACAAATGTGTTAAACCCAGTAAAACAAAGCCATGCATTGGCCAAGACATATCTCATTCAGCACCTCGGACTACTTAGAATGCCTTTCCATTTTCTTACATTCCCTCTCCTTTCGTTTCTCTTTCATTGTCCCCTGACCCCCAACCATCCCCCTGCCTCCCATCCCTGCCCCACCCTCCCAAGAAAAACTTGGGCGATGAAAAAAAATTATCAAGAAAAATGTCTACTGAGCTTCCCTTTATATTTGCTGCTGGTCTGCTATGGAGTTCTCCCCCTCTCCCCACCTTTTTCAACATAGTAGTCATTCTAGGAGATGGATTGGGGAAATCTATCTAGTTGGAGGAACAAGTCCCATACCCCTCAGAAAGACTCCTCAGCTCCTGCCTCTCAGTGTCTGAAGAAATGCACGTTGGCAGCTCTAGCAGCTAAGTGTTGCTGACTGACACATAATTATGGGGGGGCAGAAAAATGTAGAAGTGTTAGTAAAGTCAATATTATTGAGACCTCTGTCTCTCCAAATAATGTAAGTAGAAGACATTCCTAGGACACGGCCAATTACATATTCTCTCTCTCCCTCCCCCTCCCTCCCTCCCTCCATTCCTCCCTCCTTCTCTCTGTCTCTCATCATAAATGTGTTTTTTTTAATTAACTGGGGCGTTCAAAGTTTTGAATATATAGCCTTCAGTTCAATCTCATTTTAGTTTGTGGTTAAGTGCAAAGAAGTTATTGTTATTATTATTCTACGTTTTTTGCTAACTTGAAATCGTGAAATGCCTCTTGGAGCTGAATGGTAAGGGTGTGTGTCTCCTAGAGAGTTCCTTCCAGTTCCTTCTGTGACTTTGGCCTGTAAATTAGCCTGTGAAGTGGTGTTTATGGCTGAGTGGGGAGGTTAAGACAGCCTAATTGTATGTTTGTACAGGAGAAAACATCAGGCCAGACCTTAAGCAATTTCCCTGTCCCTCTGACCCTTGCGTGGTGATCTAGATACAATTTGGAAAAAAGTGAGGAGATGAGATGGCCTGTGTCACCACCAAGCTAAATTACCATGGACTTTAATTTAATTAGAAATACCATTTCAACAAAGGAGAATATTTCCATCTTCCTACATTGCCCAAGGTGAACAAAAGCATAGCATGTGGTGGCCTGGGGCATTTTGATTCTAACATATGGGATTCTTATCCAGCTCCCCACCACCACGTACCATTTTCCCCTTTCTCTGTTGGAAGCAGCGTTTCTATGTATGATGGGAGAGAAACAGTGAGCTTCAAGTTAGCATCCTATTACTTGGTGCAGTTATAAAAGATTAAAATGCTGCCTCTCCCTGGGGACTACTTTTCCTTCTCTTAAGAAGGATATAGTGAATGAAAACCAGAATGAGACCAGCAGGTCAACGTCTTTAAAGCTGGTCATAAAAATGTATCACAACAAAAAAATCCAGTGGGTACCAATCATGGGCTCAAATACCCCTGGCTTTGTTCTTGGACACTTCTCTGTCACAGGGGCAGAAATACTTCTGTTTCTCTTCAAAAGCATGAGGTTTGCATTTTTCATGTGTAGCCACATGCTGAAGCCTTACGATGCGTAGGTTCAATTTCCTTCGAGTGAAGGAAAAAAAAAAGATACCCTTCATATCTTCTCTCATGCACCTAGAAATGTGTGTTATAATTGAAATTATAACCAGGGAAAAAGACTTCTCTATGAAATAACAAGTTTGAGGGCTTGGCCTAGTTCCAAATTATGGCACTCTCATTTAGAAATTGGGGCAGCTAGGTTTTGCAGTGGATAGAGTGCAGGGCCTGGAGTCAAGAAGACTTTAGTTCAAATCTGCCCTCTGGTAAGCTGTGTGACCCTGGGCAAGTCACTTAACCTTGTTTGCCTCAATTTCCTCATCTGTAAAATGAGTTGGAGAAGGAAATGTCAAACCATTCCAGTACCTTTGCCAAGAAAATCCCAAATGGGATTACAGAGAGTTGGACACAACTGAAATAACTGAAAAACAACAATGACATTTAGAAATTGTTCATGATTGAGTTGTTCTCATCAGAAGGCAGTTTCCCAGACACTCAGTAAGCTACTCATCCTATTTCTACTGGTTCCATTTCTAGGTGAAATAATCTATTTCTTTATACTACATCTTTCAGGGATCTATCATGCCCATTCCCCCTTCACTCAAATTAGATTTTACATTTGCAATATAGTAAAATTTTCTTACAGACCACTTCTGTACCTTGTGCTATCTGTATCTTTCTCACTGTTCTTGGCAGTGGATTATCAAATTATTATTATCAAATATTGCATTTGACATGGACACTAGGAGAATGGA